TGGTAACAGGCTCCCCACAAATGTGGAGAAGAGGGGGAAAGACTTCAACTTTGGACTTGAAATAAATATCGGCATCTACAGCAACCGGTAAGGTAGGACTTGTCCTTAGGCCTGGCTTGTCCTTAGGTATAGTATAGCTATACTGATTATTGAAATCTTGAGATACTTTGGCTCATAAATAGTCACTGACTGAGTCCTCCCCTGCTGTGGCTGCTCTCCAGTCCCCTCCCTGCACTCCCAGGCTCCTCCATGACCCAACAACTGAAAGGTTAAGGTCTGGCACAATGTGGGCTCCCAGAACCCTGTTCTGATTCTAAGTCCTGTTCTTATAGGTCATGGCTACACCTTACCAACTGTTAAGTATTTTGAATATTATCCCTGTTTGTCTCCATTTTGCAGATGAGGAAAATGAGATTCTGGAATAGTTAACAATTTGCTTGAAATTGCTCAGCTACTAAATGCTAGAATCAGAACCTGAACTCAAGTCTTCTGGGATCAAACCTCATGTCCTTTTCTCCTCCTCTCCCTACTGTGGGTCTGTGTGTCTGTCTACCTTTTGCTGGGGACTATGAATACAGGGAGAAAGTTATGTAGGGGGATTGGGTTGGCACAGGAGAGTCAGAAAACCCTACAGGGGTCCCAGGCAGAATGCAACCCTTCTCTTTGAATTATCTGGCCATATGGCAGTCTACCCCCAAATCCCTGCCAGTTTTGTGCCATGGCAGCTGTTTCAGGCTGGAGGTGCCATCAATCTCTTAACGCACCCCCTCCACCCCACTGCTCCGGGGGAACATGACAATGTAATGCAGAGAGGGCTCCATGCCTGCTCCTTGATTCAGCCCTGAACCACCCAGTGGCTCTCTTGGCTGCAGCCTTCCCTCGCTCTCCACCTGTCAGGCTGGGTTTGGAAGGCTTGTTCCACTAATTTCAGAGGTCAGGGGCTTCTGTGGGAGGATGCCCCTCCTCATCTCCTTCCTGTAAATTAATTACGCCTCGGACACAGACCTGACTTAAGAACAAGCGCTCCAAATGGAGTCGGAGTAGCAGAGGAAGGAAGGTGGGAGAGGGTTTTGCAAGTGCTGGAGGTGGGTTGATTTGCCATCTGGACGACCGGTTACTCTGGCATCTCCTTTTGTCTTTCTCCACCCTGGAGCAGTAAGGCAGCTTCCTTCTTGGAGAAACAAGAAGAGGATGTAGAGAGGAGAGAACACTTCTCGCTTCTCCAGTGTGCAGCAGAGGCTGGGAGGTGGTAGGACAGAAGGGTGCACCGGATGAGTGGTTTATTTATAGGGACCTCCCATTTAGTGAGTGACCTTTGTGAGTGCGTGTGCATGCACCTGACTTCGTTGTCTACCATGTATCAAGTACTTTGCGCATGCCGGATTACTCGGGCCCTACACCAGCCTTCCTATAATTATCCCCATGTAACAGATGAGGAAAGTGAGGCTCAGAGAGGTCCTGTGACTTGCCCAAGGCCACACAGCCAGAAAGAAGCAGAGTCAGGATTGATCTCAGATCTGCCTGATTCCCGGACACAGTCTTCCCTATTCTATGGCGGTGGGAGTTGGGGGCAAAGAGTGGTACGTGGTGCAGATGTGTGGGGGGAAAGCTTAGACAAGATACCTCTGTGTGTGTTGAAGCCCAAATCACTGAGCGTGCTTTATCTTTATTACCCCATGTGCAGTTTCCAACCAGAAGAATTGGAGTCCGTCTCCTCCCCATCCTCCTTCCTCCCTTTCTCCTACATTCTGGTCCTGATCAATTTCCTGAAGCATCACTCACCCCGTTCATAACCTTGACCCAAATAGCAGCCCTCCCCATTGTCTTTCTTGGGTCCATGAAGAATAAACTCACTAGGACTCAGCACCCATGATCTCCCATGAGTTCTGAGCTTCTGAAAAAGGGGGACTTCTGAAGCAAACCTGGTTTCCTCTCCCTTCCTCGGGCTCAGCCCCTTGCCACACTCCTTTCCACGCTGCTCACCTCTTAGGGCAAAGTCCAGTTCAGGCCTCTTTTTGCATCTAAGATACACCTTTGAAATAGCAGAGTAATCTCCTTTTCCAGACCCTGCAGGCACAACCTGCACGCTAGAGCATAAGACCACAGAGCCCCTCATTGTTATCTTGTTCTCCACCCACCAACGCTACATGCTGTGGAAGATAATTATTTACTATCCTGTGCCCATCAATGTAAAAGAAGCATGTGTCTCTCTTGTTGACTTTTTATTCAGTCTCAGAGATTTCCTTACCTTGCTTTCTCCCTCCGCCTTAATCTACCACCAACAGATTTCATGTAACCCCCTTGCCTCTCCCCCTTTTATCCTAGTGTATAAAATAAGCTGCAAAACTGCCATTCTCCAGAGCATTCTCTCAATCCATTGAAATTTGGCTTCCTGTCAGTTTGGCTCAGATAAACTCAAATCCTCCGCAGGTTTGGACGTTTCTCATGTAGACACTGCTAAGAATCTCTCATGTCCCGAGTCCAGAACCCACCACGGTTGGGGCAGGTCCATACTGGTGTTTCCCCAGTGAAGGGGCACCAGGTTGTGTGACTTCTCCCATGAACCTTTCCTCCTCTGTGTGGTTTTGTCACTGGGATTCCTGAGGCCACCACCAAGCCTTGCCCCCAGAGTCACTGCTCTCTCTTTTTGACCTAAAAATGAACAAACAGGTTGCATAGGTCCAGCTGACTCCAGCTGATCATTTCAAAAGAGCTTAAGGGAACACAAAAAGGAAATCATCATAGAAACTACAAACAGCATAAAACTCACTATGTCTACATTTCAGGTCTCAGATTCTGAGAATAACATTAGAAGCAGTGAAAAGCTCACTGAGTTCCACATTCCTTGATCCCAAGACCAAACCCGACTGTGGGGGCGCAGCTTCACGGACCCCTGGCCAGTCCCTTCCCTCCAGCCCCGTGGGCCTCTGGCCGTGCGATCTCCCAGGCCAACGCAGGCCCCTTTGCATCCAAGTCTATCTTTTACTTTTCACAAGGAAACCCCAACTTTCCCAAATTGAGAATTTTATTTTCTGGGTTTACTCCTAGACTCACTATGGTTTCTCCCCTTAACATCCACCCCCATCACTGTCCCGTGTAGTGAGATATCTTTTAATGTCCATGAATGAACTTTGAGATTTTACCCACCAAATTTACTCCTTTACCCACCAAAGGAGTCTTCACCAAATTAGACCCTCCATCCAGATTAATAAACAAAGGGCTTCCAAAAATCCATAATGTGTATAGCAATGCCTCCCTTATGCATTAACCTTCAGGTCCCTTCATGCAGATCGCTTTATGAGTTCGTTTTGTGCTGGCCAGGAAATAAGGACACATTCTCTCCAACAACAAAAGGAAACCATTTGCAAAGTAATGTGCAAGTAAGAAATACCAATGGCTTCTTTTAAATTAACAATTGCGATCACGGAATGAAGGTCTGCTTGAGATTCTGACCTTCTGTTATCAGTCCGTGTCGGGAACGTCTCCGGTCTCAGGTGACGAGTCCATGGAATAGCCTCCTGTGAATTTGGTCAACTAAAGTCACGATTGCGGGGACGTCACACCTAAGGGACTATGCATACCACATGTTACAACTGGTAGAAGCCCAGTTACTATTAGCAGGGAAAGTCAGAAAATTAAAAAACGAAGGGAGGGATTCCAGTTGGGCGGCGATTCCTCTTTCTCTGAGCCATGACCCATTCGGGCTGCCGTCGTTGCCCTGGGATACCAGGGGACGCCGCGGCCTGTGCATCTTGTATCTATGGAGACGACAACATGGCGGTGATGTGAGGTTAGAGCTTTGATCCCAGGGGCGCAGGGACCCAGGAACCCACGGAGAGGCGCGAGTGGCCAGGGAAGGTGTCTGCCCCAGGAGACGACCTCCTTCGGGAAGTGGCGAGGGGTCCCCTGCGTGTTCTTCAGAGAATCCCGTGGGACTGAGTCTTGGCCGAGATCGGATTGAAGATCCGGAAGAGAAAGGAGGAACAGCTCTAAGTAAATTTTGTCCCTTCATTTTACCTATTTCTTCCTCCCTCAACTCTACACGACGACCTGCCACTTTTCCACTGGTCATCTTAGGAATTTTTAGGTTTGAAATTAGAAAATTTGGAAGCTGATAATATATATTTTTAAAGTCTTTGAGATTAGAAAATTGGGTTAAAAAACACCATCTCCTTGCCCAGTATGTTCACAATGATTGCAAATGTGTTTTTTTTGGAAGAGAAGTAGAAGCCAGTGTGGAGGTTAGGGTTGTTGACTACAGTAACGTAAGTTTATCTAGGGCTTTTTTGAATCCCTGATTTCATTTGAGGTTCACATCAACTTTGTGAAATAGCGTAAGCCTCACTTTACAGGCCAGCAGACTGAGGCACTTGCCCATCTTAAATGAATCTAAGGAGATGCTGGAACCAGCTTCCTTTGCTCCATGGCCAGTGCTCACTCTCCTAAGCCCTAAGCCCTGGCCTGGACCAGCTTTCTACCCCATCCTCTGTCATCTCTTCTGTGCGCTCACTGGGATGCTTCATGTGTTGTCTGGAGACTTTCTAAGGGCCCTGTGTCAGGGCCATCTATAGAACCCCCTGAAGTCACAGGCATTAAAGAGTCAAGACAGAACTACAAAGCCATCCAATAGCAGAAAAGTATCTCTGTCTGCCCAGCATGCATTTCTTTGATTCCATTTGAACGTTTGCTTCCTAATTGAAGGTAGGGGCCTTGCTTGCCTCTCTGGCCCAGGCTTGTTCCTCATACCTGTTGCCAGAGCTGGGAAGCAGGCACTCCTCCGTGATAACGTTGGCCATGGTGCGTCTACTCCATCAACCTCTCTTTTTCACGTCCTTCCTGCCTCTCCTCTGGCAGGAGCTCCTGGCTTAGCCAGAGTGCTCCCTGTAGACTTCTGTTTCAGGCACCCGCTGCTCATCCAGACAGCCCCCAGCCCCATCACCAGGACGAGGGACAGCAGGAACTAAGCCATGACCTCTGGATCATGCCTGAGTGCCAGCACAATGGCCATTCCCACTGTCACTGGCAGCAGCGCGGTCACGAGTGCCTACAATAACAGCAACGCCAGTGCCTGTGTGAGCGCGCATCCAGGGCAGGTAGGGCAGGGTACAGTGGGGCCAGGACCGGGGGAGGGGAGGCAGTGTCGGGGGTGGTAGGAATAGCAAAGGACCCGACTTTTCTGTCTAAATCCTGGCACTAGATCTTGCATAGATGGGCACCAAGCTAGCTGGAGTGGTGGTAGCCGTGAGTGACCGTAGAGCGGGGGGCGGGGGGGGGTGCCCTCTAGGAGGATGTGAGTGGGAGGCTGAGAGAGTAGCCAGGAGTTCTCCTTTCCCTCAGAAGGCTTTTCTTGTCATGACCCCAGGACTCTGGGTTTAGACAATATATGGACGTTGATTACTTTCTTTTTTGCAGCTCTTAGGGTTCTCTCTTTGTGTTGGCGCAGGAGCGGGGGGCGGGGTCTAAAGGTGTGACTCTGGGGTACGGCTTTGTATTTGGTGCAGCGTGTGTCTGTGTGTGTGGATTCTCGCGTCTCCTTAGATGTGCTGGTGGTTGCACTTGCCTCCTTGTGGGCCATGGGTCACCGCACCCCTCCCTCGGTGCCATTTCAGGCCTGCTTGCCCCAAGACTCACTCACTGCCCTTCACTGCTCTGCTCTGCATGGGCAGGAGAGGGAAGGTGGGAGGAGGGGAGAAGTCAGGGTATTTCCCTTCCTCTCTGCTTCTGACAGTGTCTCCAATAGGAGTTGCATCTTTCTGTGCTCCAGTCCCCAACAGACAGGCCTTTGGGCCCTGAGAACCCCGTCCCCTCCTTTGACGTAAGTGTGGTTGCAGCTTCTTGATGTTGCTCGCCTCAGGGTTCCTTCAGCTTCCCCTGCTTGTGCATTAAATTCCTTGTTTTAAATACCCAGAGTGGCTTCTGTTTTCCTGGTTGGACTTGACTGGTGCGCCAACGGATATTTATAATAAATTACCCATGTCATCAATTCTCCACGGGCAAATTGGGAAAGAAAATGCTATATTGGCCATCTGACACTCTGTAAATATTGACGCTGAGAGTTGAACCTCCAAGAGAGGAGGGATTTGTAGGTCTTGTTCACTATTGTAGTCCTGACGCCTAGCTCAGTGTCTGGCTCATAATAGGTAGTCAACAAATATTTGTTGAACAGATGAATATATCCTTATGCTATGTAACAAAATAAGAGCAACCTTTGGTCAAAGATGAAATAAAATAGCAATGGGTTGAGCCTTCACACCAATGAGTGTGGCAGGAAGAGATACCTGGTTGTTCCTCCTTCCACCTTGCACCCCATGGGAGTTTCCATTCCTTTCCTTCCTCAAATAGATAGAAGTTAGGGATCAGCCCATGAAAGGATTTTCCATTACAGATGGGAAGTGTTGGCACATGGCACCTCTAGCATCATCAAAAGTGCTTGGCGTGGCCCCAAAGTCAGGGCAGAGGTGGGGGTTGGTTGCAGGTGAATTGGCCCCTTCCTCTGCTCCATCAGCCATTTGAAGGAGGAGAGGGAATGGGGGAGTGTCCCTGTGGTCTGGAGAAGTGCCTGGGATAGACCGCTCCAGCTCGGAGAGGCTCCTGCAGTGAAGGGGAGGACGGGGAGGAAGAGGAAGAGAAGGCTGCATCTGAGAGAAGCAGTATCCAAGGGTGCACTGAGGCACAGAATAGGCCAACAGAGACTGCCAAGTGAGCCAGACCGAATGGCCGGATGGGGAGGCCCAGGGAAGGCTTAGGGGCAGAGTCACCAGGAATCTAGTTGGAAAACCATTCCAGTGGCCTTGGAGGAGGTAATATGTGATTCCAGGGCCTGCCTGCCTGCCCCTCACCCTCTCTCCAGACCATCCCCCAGAGCGAGGTGTAACGCATTAATCTGTGGAGGTGGAGAGATCTTTGCCTGTACGCTGGGTCTTTGACTCCTCCCCCAATCATTCGTCCTTCTTTCTCTCTGCCACCTGAACAGCCAACCTGCGCCACGGACCCCCAGATGTGCTTCTCAAAGAAGCAGGACAAAGTGAAGAAGAGGGTCATCTGGGGCATTGAGGTGGCTGAGGAGCTGCTGTGGAAAGGCTGGGAGCTGGGGAAGGAGGTCACCAAGAACCTGGTTCTGAAAAATCTCTCCTTGAAAACCCAGAGGATGAAGTACAGGTATGAGTATATGAGTATGAGGGCGCAGAGACCCAGCTCCTGAGCCCTCAAGCAGACACTTTTTAAAAACTTTGAAAATGTCATAAATTCAGAGGAGTATATAAAACATGTGCGGTTTGAAGAATTACCAAAAGTGTGGAACCCCTGTGACCAGATTAAATAACGGAATAACAATGTGCAAAGCTCACCTTCTCCTGCTGTGTGTCTCCCCTACTGGAATACCCTCCCCGCCCGTAAAGGTAACCATTACCCTGATTTTCATAACGATTTCCTTGCCTTTCACAAATGGATCTACCACCTATGTTTGCATCCTTAAATGAGAGTTCAATTTTACCTTTTTATGAACTTGACATAAATGAAATAACATGGTATGCTTTTTAACACTTTTATTTTACTCAGTTATGTTTGTAAGACTCATCCATGTATAGCTATAGTTCATCTTTTTTCATTGCAGTATAATATTCCAGTGTATGCTTATACAGTGTTACAATGTATTCATCCGTTCTTCTGTTGAGGGACATTTGGGTTGTTTCCAGTTTGAGGCTGTGATCATCATTCATGTATACAACTCTGGTGGCACAAGTACAGAGTTTTTCTAGGGTGGACACATAAGAATTGCTGTGACTTAGAACATGTGTGTTTGCTTTTTGTACATAAAGCCAAACTATTTTCCAAAGTACTTGTATCATTTATATTCCCGCCAGCCACCTATGAGAGTTCTTCTTCCTCCACATTTTTACCAACAATTGCTGTTGTCAGGAAGGAAATTTTTTTGTTAATGGCAATTTGTTGTGGTTTTAAATTTGCATTTTCCTGATTACCAATACAGTTGAGTGTCTTCATATGTTACTGACCATTTCATTTGTGAGATTCCTGTTTAAGTATGCACCCATTTTTCTATTAGATTGTCTTTTTTTTAAATAGAAGTTTTCATCATGGATAATAATCCTTTGACAGTTAATGTGTTGTGAATATCTTCTACCTTGTGGCTGGTCTTTTGCTCTCTTATTTTTTTAAGGACTTAATTTATTTATTTTTAGAGAGAGGGGAAGAGAGGGAGAAAGAGAGGGAGAGAAACATCACTATGTGAGAGATACAGTGATTGGTTGCCTCTCGCATGCCCCCAACTGGGGACCTGGCCCGCAACCCCGGCATGTGCCCTGACCGGGAATCGAATCAACAACCTTTTGTTTCACAGGCCGGGGCTCAATCCACTGAGCCATGCCAGCTAGGGCAATCTTTTCGTCTCCTTATCTTGTCTTTTGAGGAACAGAAGTTCTTAATTTCAAACAAATCAAATGTATCAATCTTTTTCTTTTATGATTTATGCTTTTGATATTTTTTATGTATTTTATTTAAGAGATCCTTCTTTACCCTGGCTGGTGTGGCTCAGTGGACTGAGTGCTGGCCCGCAAACCAAAGGGTCACTGGTTCAATTCCCAGCCAGGGCACGCGCCTGGGTTGCAGGCCTGGTCCCCAACCGGGGGCATGCGAGGGGCAACCACACATTGATGTTTCTCTCCTTGTCTTCTCCTCTCTCTGTAAATCAATCAATCAATCAATCAATCAATCAATCTTTGAAAGAAAGAAATTTTTCTTTACCCCATAGAGATCATGAAGATATTCACCTATAGTTATCCTCTAAAGGTTTTATGGTTTTTCCTTTTATAGTTGTCTTTTATCTATATGGAACTGATTTTTTTTAATGGTTTGAAGTCAGGGTCCAATGATCTTTTCTTCCTTTGATCAAATGTCCAAGAATCCCAATGCCATTTATGGAAAAGTTCATACATTCTCTCGTGATCCCCCCACCAGTGATGTATGTCAAGTGTTCATACATGAAGAATGGATCCATTTCTGAATTGTTTTGTTCCCTTGATCTACTTGTCTCTCCCTGGGCCAATATTATTCTGAATTAATTATATCTTGATATCTGGTAGTGGAAGTCCTTCAGCTTCACTCTTATTCAAGATGTCTTGGCTATTCTTGGCCTTTTGAACTTTCATATAAATTTTCAAATTGGCTTACCATACCTACACATAAAAAACTTTTTGAGATTTTGATTGGGATTTAATTGAACCTATAGATCAATTTGGGGAGAAGTGACATTACAGATTGAGTCTTTCCATTCATGAACGTGGTATATCTTTATATTTATTTAGGTCTTCTTTCATGTCTTTCAAAAAAGTGTAAAATTTTCTCCATAGACACCTTACAAATTTTTAGTTAGCTTTGTTCCTACGTCTTTTATATTTTTCATGATGTTGTATATGATACCTCTTAAAGCTGTTCCATTTTCTGCTTGTTCCTACTTTTTTAGAAAGTCATTTTTAAAAATATGAACATTTTGTGCATAACCTTGTTGTGTTCAGCAATCTTGGTATATCCTCTCATTAATTCTAATAATTTACTTGTTAATTCTTTTTTTCCATGGACACATTCACATTTTATATGGAAATGGCATTTTTTTTCCTTTCCTTTCCAATCCTTATACATATTCTTTCTTGTCTTTCTTTACTGCACTGTTGGATAGGGAAGTGTTGAACAGAAGTGGTTAGAGAAGGCGTCATGTTCATGATCTCAAAGTGAAATATTCCATTGTTTCATCATTAATTTGGATGTTTCCTGCAGTTTTTTTCCTTAGACTTTACTAGGTTAAGGAAGTTCCCTTCTTTTCCTGGGTTGCTGAGGATTTTTCTTGTAACTGTATGTTGATTTATTTGGCTCTAAGATTTAGGTAATTGTTTGATTTTTTTCTATTAATTTGTCAACACGGTAGATTAGATTGATTTTCTATGGTAGACCAACCATGTATCCCTAGGATAAGCCCAACTTGGTCATGATTGAGTATTCTTTCAATACATTGCTAAGGTCTAATATTTTGTTGCAAATATTTTGCTCATGAGTCATAGTGGTCTGTAATTTTTCATTCTTCTCCTGCCTTGGTCAGGTTATGATGAATTCATTGAATATGTTGGCTAGTGTTTTCTTGTCTTATATTATTGGGAAGATAAGGCTGGAATTATTTTTTATCAAACGCTCAATAGGACTTCCAGTGAAGCCATCCAGCCTAGTATTTTCTTTTTTCTTTTTAAAGGATTTTATTTCTTTAATTTTAGAGAGAGAGGGGAAGGTAGGGAGAAAAACATGGATGTGTTGCCTTTCACGTGCCCCTGACGGGACCTGACCTGCACCCCAGGCATGTCACCCGACTGAGAATCGAAGCAGCGACCTTTTGGTTTGCAGGCCAATCCACTGGGCCACACCAGCTAGTATTTTCTTTATGGGAAGATTTTTGACTACTTATACAATTTCTTTGATGATTTTGGTGAGGGTGGCCCAAAAATTTATTGTATAATTCTTGAGTCAGTTTTGGTTAAGTTATGCCTGCCTGGGAATATTAAATACATTCATCTCAACTTTAACATTTGTTAGTATAGAATTGTTGCCAATGTCAACTTATTGATACTGCTAATGGCTGCAGTATCTATAGCTGGGACCTCTATAACTCTGTCAAGGTCTCTGCTCAGAAAGGCACCCCAGCTCCCACCTGTGTTCCCACCTTAGTCTCCCCAAGGATGTGGTTAGATAAGGGCAGCCTTCCCTGTCCCCATGACCACCGTGCGCATCCAAGATACAAGTGCTGCTCCCTTGCGCCTATATCTGACACCCTGGAGCAAAAGTCTGTAACAAGAATAGCGAGACAAGGGAGATAGCAAGTGACAGAACCCCTGCGTCTCCCCTTTCTAGTCTTAAGGACTCAAGTCCGCTCAGCTTTCCAGGGTCTTCCCTGATCTCTCTGCCCCACCTAGTCTTCTGAGCCCCGACCCTGAAGTGCTCATCTTCTGGTTCTTTCCTGCAGGCCCCCCAAGACCAAGTATTTCTTCACAGTCATCCCTCAGCCCATCCTCCTGAGCCCAGGCATAACCCTCACACTCCCCATCATCTTCCGGCCTCTGGAGGAGGTAAGGCTGCCATGACGAGCGGAGGGCAGTGAGGAACATGCACTGTGACCTTGGAACTGACAGAGCAACAAGGAGCCCCGCCCCCACCAGGCACACATCCCACCAACTGTAGCAAAAGTGCAGCTTGGGGAGCCCTGGAGAGGCGCTAAACTCACTAGACAGATGGGGCTTCCAGCTGGATGTTAGCTGTGCTACTAAATTGGTCATCAGAAAGCCCCGGGTTCCTTGGCCCCTTCCTGCTCTCAGAACGTTCCCCCTAAATACTTTGTTCCCCCCAAAAAAGACCCCGCCTCTCTGAGACCAAGACACTGATGGAGCCCAGATAACCAACCCCCTGGGAGACAGAGATAGAGGGCCACAGCCTAGCCCCCCACTCAGTGGCTGTGGTTGGGGGATGGCCAAGGGCTGGGGTGGGAGGTACGGACCCTGAGTACCACCCAGACATGACTGACCAGGGGCTGCCTCTGCCCCCGCCCCACACTGCAGAAGGAGTACGTGGACCAGCTGTGGTTTGAGAAAGCAGAGGGAGTGTTCTGTGTGGGCCTGAGGGCCCCCCTGCCTCGCCACAGTCTGATCTGCCCACCGTCCCTGCAGCTGCCCACGTGTGCCGTGGGGGACATGGCCGAGGCCTGGTTCTGCCTGGACAATGTCGGGTGAGGGGGGTGAGGGGAGCAGCTGGGGCTTGGAGGTGGGGAGAGCGAGGACTGCGATGGGGGTACCGGGGAGAAGGGAGACCCGCGTGTCTGGTGGGGGGAGGGGAGGGGGGAGTAAAGAGCCCTGCCCAGCATCTCCCCCTCCCTAGAGCAGGGGCAGTGATCAGAATGGGCTGAGTGGCTCTGACTTGCCCCACACCACAGGGACCTGCCCGCCTTCTTCACCTGGGAGTTCTCAAGCCCATTCCAGATGCTGCCCACCACGGGGCTGCTGGAGCCTGGTCAGGCTTGCCGGATCAAGGTGACCTTCCAGCCGCTTATGGCTGTCATCTACGAAGTCCAGGCCACGTGCTGGTATGGGGAGGGCAGCAAGCAGAAGAGCAGCATCCAGCTGCAGGCTGCAGGTGAGTGAGGCTCAGCCTCTCGCCTGTCCCCAGAGCCCACCTGCTGCACCTCCCTGGCCCTTAAACTCTCAGTGTGCCCCCTGCCCCAGCTTCTGCCTTGGCCTGGCCCCCATGGGGCCTCCGCCAGCTTCCTGCCCTTCCCCCAGCCCAGCAGACGTTGCCTTTTCTTTGCCCTCCTTGGTGTCGTAGGCCAGTATTTCCCTGAGGACACCTACCGTCTTCAAGGGGCTGTGCAGCTGGGGTCACGGAGGCCCTGGTGGATTTTTCCCCAACAGCCCCCACCCTGCCTCCTCCACCACAGGCAAATGTGCCCAGCTGCTGGTGAGCATAAAGCAGAAGCGACCAGAGGACCAGGATGTCGAGGGCTTCCAGAAAGTGCTGCACTTTGGCTCCGTGGCTGTGGGCTGCATCGCCGAGAGGCAAATCAGACTGTACAATCCATCGGTGGTAGGCGTCCTGTGCATGCGGAGGCGGGGGGCGGGACTCGGGACCGCAGCCTGGGTGCTCGCGAATCCCACCCCCTGTACAGAGTGCCCCCCTTTCTCTCCACGCCTTTGGTGCCAAGCCTCACATAACTCATGCCTGTTGATACACACATGCCAACAGGTGTACCCGTCTCCTCTCAGCTTAGGGGGCTGGGTTCACCAGCTGCCCTCACCCCCATGGCTAGTAGGCACCTTGGTAATGACAGACTCCCCCACCCTGTGCCCTGACCCCTCCTGTCCTCACCGGGCCCCACAGGTGAGTGCCCCCTTCAGGATTGAAGTGACCCCAGACACGCTGACCAAAGACCAGGCCTTCTCATGCCCCACGGCCTATGGCGTTGTGCCCCCAGGAGGGAAGAAGTACGTGTCGGTGTTTTTCCACCCCAAGACTTTGGACTCCAGGACTATGGACTACTTGTCTGTTGTGCCCTCTGGCTGTGCCTCCCAGACCCTGCTCAAAGTTGTTGGTTTCTGTAGAGGTACTGGCAACCCCAGGACACTGCCCTTCTCTGGGGACAGGAGCAGCCCACGCTTAGGGTTGGGAAATGCTCCTTGCCAGCCCAGAGCCGGAGCCTCCTTGCCCTTCAGCCTCGGTGTCTGCTGCCCCCTGGTGGGCTCAGTGAGGACACCCGGAGTCCTGAGCTGCGCTCACTTCTGGTGACCTGGAGGTCTGCTCGGGCCCCTGGGGCGCCTAGCCTTCCCAACCTCCAGTCAGCGGGACCCTTTCTGAAACACCCTTGGGGAGGCTGATACTCCAGCCCCGCCTGGGGGGCAGGGCCTGCTCACAGGGACCCCGTCTCCCACACCCAGGTCCTGAGGTGTGCCTGCAGCACGGCTGCGTCAACTTCCGCTGGGTCAGCCTCGGGGAGCGCTCGGAGCAGTCCCTGTGGATTGAGAACAGGTCAGACTGCGTTGCCCACTTCCAGTTTGCCATTGACTGCCAGGAGAGCGCCTTCAACATCAGACCTACGTTCGGGACCCTGGTGGGCAGGGTCCGCATGACCCTGCGCTGTGCCTTCCAGCCCACTCACCCCATCATCTACTTTCGGCGAGTGGCCTGTCTCATCCACCACCAGGTGAGTGGTGGGGGCGGGGGAGTCGAGGAGGGGCTTCCCTGGGAGCTGGAGGGCCCATCTGAGGCCTATGATAAAGACAGCGCTTGGTGCTCGCCTCTGGAACCTCTGGGGCTGTCTGCCTCGGTCGCCCCCTCCAGGGCCCCAGCCTGGGTTTCAGAGGCACGTGAGGTTTACCTGCGCCAGGTGGGGGTGCCCACTTTGCCCTCTGCTCCAGGCCAGGGACTCTGTTGCTGTTGCCAGGGAGGGGGCCATTGGACCTCACTCCACACAGCCCCTGCAGAGTCGAGAGCCTTGACGTGAGCCCCCAACCCGCGCCCCTGGGACAGCTCACTCAGACTGTGCCCGGACCGCCTAGCACCTGGCCACGGTGGTAAACGGCAGCTGAAATCTAGTCTCACGTGGACAAATGTCGCAGGACCCACTGTTCTTGGACCTGATCGGGACCTGCCACTCGGACAGCGCCAAGCCCGCCATCTTGAGGCCCCAGCACCTCACTTGGTACCGCACACACCTGGTGCGGGGCCTGGCGCTCTACCCCCCTGACATCCTGGGCCTCATGCTGAGCGAGAAGAAGCTGGAGCAGGATAAGAACGGGGCCCTCATGATTCCCACGCAGGTTCGATGGACCCCACTGGGCCCTGGGGGCCGGGCCACCCTCCCACATTCTGCCCACTTCCCCAGCAGTTTTTGGGCAGTCCTGTGCCCCCAGAGGGCCGTAGGGGTGACCTGTATGGAGCTCTTGTAGCTTTTTCCAGAAAAAACATACAGATGAGGGGCATGTGGAAGGAATGGCCACTGGGCCCCCACCCACTCGTCTCTCCTCGCCAGGACCTGGAGGACACGCCAGCCCTGCAGTACCCTCTCCTACCCCCACTGATGGAGTACTTCTTCGATGGCACCAGAGACTTGGCCATCTTCCCCCCGCCCGTCAGCATGGAGCCTTTTGAGGCAGATTTTGGTGCCTGCCCTGGACCTGAGGATCCCAACCCTGTCCCACTGTACCTGGTGAACCACACCAAGGGCAAGATCACCGTGGTCTGGACTCACAGGTCCGATTGCCCCTTCTGGGTGACCCCAGAGACCTGCGATGTGCCCCCACTCAAGTCCATGGCCATGCGCCTGCACTTCAAGCCACCTCACCCAAACTGCCTCTATGCGGTAGAGCTGGAAGCCTTCGCTGTCTATAAGGTGTGTGCAGGCAGCCAGGGCGGGGAAGGCGGGTTCTCCGTCCCAGAGCCAGGATGGTACCGTGGGGTTGGAGGGGGTGATAGAGGGGTGCTGTAGGATCTGTCCTCTCTGTGCCAAGCTCCTCTCTGTGTCTTCTTTGCTGGACAGTGGCCTTCCTGGTTTGTCCTCTCCGAAGCTCAGGGCCTGCCTTGGCTGAGTAGCTTCTTGGCCTATGTGATTATGTCTCTTTCATGTGCGGCCTCCTACCCTCTCCAGAGGGAGAACTCAGCTGGAGTCACCCCCTAGGGAAAATTGTGGTGTACAAGAGTAGTTTCCTGGGCTCCTGGCTTCTTTTTCAGTCCCCGGAGTGGGAATTACCCCAGGTAATCAGGTGTGTCAGGGGAGGAGCTTCTAGCACGGCTCCCCTTGGCCAGGGAACTCGGAGCACAGGCTGACCCCGGCCCAGCCCAGTCCCGGACGCACATCGCTCCCTCCTCTCCAGTCGGTCCTGCCCTTTCCCTCCCTTCTCAGCTCTGCCCACCCTGCTGTCCTTTCTCAGTGGCCTGGGTGCCAGGAGAAGAGTGGAGCTGTGCAGTCAAGATTAGAGTTCCTTACCGGCCACGTGACCTGTTGGGCAAGCCCCTTAATGTCTCTGAGCCCTGGTCTTTTCACCTATAAACTTGGGGTCATACCCAAAAGTTCAAGAAAGCTTTCCACAGCTGAGTCTTTGACTGCCTCCGTTCTAACGCCTTGGCAGTGAAACGTGGAGGTCTGCAGGAATGAGGCTGTGGACACCTGCCTTGGCCAAGGCTGAACCCCTTGGGTCTTCGGGCCACATGCTTAGCCCTGCACTGTTTGATACAGCAGCCGCCAGCCACAGGTGACCACCAAGCACTTAAAATGCGACCAGTCCAAGTTGAGATATGCTCTAAAGATAGGAGACACCCCAGACTTTGAAGACTTAGCATGAAAAGAATTCAAAGTATCTTGCATGTCACTTATATGTCAATTAGACATTGAAATAAGACTTTAGATTTATTGGGTTAAATAAAATGTTTAATTGAAATTATTTCATGTGTTTCCCTTTTTAATGTGGCTACTAGAACCTTTGCAGATCTGTGTGTGGCTTGCATTTGTGGCTCTTATTCTATTTCTATTGGCCAGCGCTTCTCCAGGCCCCTTCCTGCAGGATGTGCTAGCACTGCTGTGAGGATTAAAGCGGTAGCTGAGTGCCCAGCAAGGGGGGCCTGGTGCACAGCGGGAGGGCCTGTGGTCACCTGTTCCCTGCACTGCCTGCGCCTCCCTCCTCTGCCTGATGTAGGACTCCTGCAGTGCAGGGGGCAAGCTGGAGGGTCGCACAGGGCCCGACCCAGGACCCTGAGCTCATTGGCTCTGCCCCACCCCCTGCAGGTCCTGCAGAACTTCAGTAACATTGAGGAGGACTGCACCGTGTGCCCCTCCTGGTGCCTAACACTCCGGGCACGAGGCCACAGCTATTGTGCAGCCTTGGAGCACCACATCCCCCAGTACTCCCTGGACGCCCCCACGGTGAGTGTGTTTCCCGCAGCCGTGGGAGCGGGGACGGGGGAGCCTGGCTTCTGCCCTGGCCTGCGGGTCCCTCTCCCCCTCTTACCGCCCCTCTCTGCCTGTCCCAGCCTCTCCACCACCAGCCCCTGGGGCTCTGAGCCAGTCAAGGACTCTCTCTGGGCCATGGCACTGGAACTGGGGAGAGTCTGGGGCTTAGCCTGTTGCTCCCTGCCTGCTCCACCTGAAATCGTCCCCTGTCCTCACACTCTCAGCTTCAAGGACTCCCAACTCCTTCATGTGCCTGCCCTGGTCACTGAACACCTGTTCAGGGTGGGGGCCAGCACACCATGAGCCCCCGCTCTTGGGAATCACGCAGACCTGCACGGGTCACAGAGCCAGCCCCTCCCCGGGAGTCATAATCCCTGGGCCTTTTGTCTCGGAGCTGCAGGATGACAAGGGGCTTGAAAGCACAGACGCTGGAGCCAGACGGCCAAGTTCCAACCCTGCTTTCCCTTCCGTGCGGGGGCCAGTCCTCTCATCCAGCCTCACTGCCCTCATATTGCTGGAAATGCACCACTTTCGGACAATGTACTTGGGGGCGATTCTGCTCCTCCCACCAGCTACTTGTTTGCATAAGGGCACCCCTTCCTGAAAGCCCCCTGACTGCACAGGTTCTGTCTTGGCCAGTTCCTTCCAGCAGTGTGTGGCCTTCACCACCATCCAGCACATCCTGGACCCATGTCACTCCCCCGCTGCCTTGTGCAACGCACTTGTTGCCCAGCTGGACGGGACGCCCTGGTCAGCGACTTCGGGCCTTAGGTTTTGTGGCCGGCTCAGCTCGTGGCCTGGTGCTGGCCACACCCTACGTGTTTACGGAGGAGCGTTTGGAAGCTGGGATTGCTGGGTTTTTCGCTTTCTCAAAGTGGGGTTCCCCTCGGCCACCTGGAAGGAAATCATCTAGAAGGAGCTGCTCTCCCAGAGCTTCTGGACCAAGATCTCTAAAAGCGGGTTCTCCAAAAGACAGTTGGAGGGCACCCTAAAATTAAAGGACCCCTCCTTAACCTTGAGCAGGGGTCCTGGAGGCCCGAGTTTCCTGGGACCAGCCCCTGTGATCGCTCCATCTCCCTTTCTGGAGGTCTCTGGAGGACAGAAGCATTTCGTGGTGCCAAGCTGGGACCTCCCCTTGTTCCCTGTTCCAGGGCATGGCCTGGGATGCCTGGAGGCATCTTGGGTCTCCATGGAGACAGCCCCACCCCAGGCCCACCTGGACTTCCCTGAGTGTGTGTCCGGGATGGGAGGGCACGTAGATCTGAGCGTGGGTCCCTCTTCTCTCGCACCCCAGCTATTTCCCGCGGTGTCTCCCAGGGAACCCTCCTACCGCAGCCTGCTCCTGACCAACAAAGGCTCCATGCTGCTGACCTTCAGCCTGACCCCCAACAGCAGCTCAGACATCTCCCTGCGGCCCAGCTCAGGCCTCGTGGCCCCAGGGGCCCACCAGATCTTCCTCATCTGCACCTACCCCATGGGCACCTCCTGGAAGCAGCATAGTTTTTACTTGCAGTTCAATTTTTGCCCCCAGTATCTCAAGGTAGGGGCAGGGTGGGGTAGGGCCCTTGGGAATGGGCCATAGTCTGGGGTGGCCCTTTTCAAAGCCACGTTCTGGGGTTGACCTCCAGGGCTCACTTAAAGGAACCGGGTCGGGGGCTGCTACTCCCCCAGGAAGAGGCGTGGCAGGAAGAAGACCTTGTTGCCACGTCTGTGCACAGCCCTCCCACCCCTCAAGGCCCTGCCTGTTCACCTCATGGGGTTTGGGACAAGAAAAGGGGTTCAGTGGTCCCACACGAAGGAGCAGGGGCCACACAAGACTCATATCTGCAGATGATAGGGGAGTGTTTACGGCAAGGCCGGGGAAAGGGTCCGGGGTGGTGGGCCATACGTGACCCATGAAATGGTCTGTACACCTTCTCTCAGTCCCTGAGTTCTTCTCAAGAACCATCGCTGGGTCGCTCCTGAGCCGCTCTGCCTTTGACAGAAGCTGCCTAGGCCCAGGCCGGCAGAGGGCCTCTTGCTGCCCTCTCCGAGGGGGAAGGGCTGCCCACCCATGGCTTCCTGGACATTTAGGGGGCCCTGGGCTGGGCAGTGAGGTCAGGGCGCCACCCTTCCTCCTCTGGCCCCAGGAGGTGAGCATGCAAAGCCGGGAGGAGCCGCTGCAGCTGAAGCTGGACACCCACAAAAACATCTTCTTCAAGCCCACCTGGGTGGGCTCCTCCTCCACCAGCCTCTTCACCTTCCGCAACCCCTCGCGGCTGCCCCTGGAGTTTGAGTGGCGGGTCTCCGAGCAGTACCAGAAGATGCTGGCCGTCCAGCCCACCAGGGGGCTCATCCAACCCAACGAGAGCCTCGTGAGTTCCCCGCCCCACTGCCGAGGACCAGAGGGTACGGTGCCCGCCATCCTCACCCCCACCGTCATCTCTTACTCACGCCTGACAGGGGCCGGGCTTCCTCTGTGCATCTCTCGCTCAGTCCACACTCACCTCCCATTCGACCCATAGTTACCTCCCCAGGCTTGTGATGAGGCTTGGCTGTTACCATTTTCATCACTTCCCATTTTATTAAAAAGAATTAGAAGGAAAATCCATTTACTAAGATTTAAAACTAGGGGATAGAGCACTGGGACTTGGACCAAGGTTTGCAATGCCACTGCCCAGCAGTGAGTCCTGCCTCGGTCCATGGACCCCCAACTGTGAGGTCACGGGGAGGTGGTTTGGAGCAGCGGGATTTGGCACCAAGTGGCGGCTATCGTTAGGAGTGAGAAAAGGGACACCGAGAAATCCCAGTGGCTGTCTGGAGGAGAGCACAGCCTGGGACACAAACTAGCAGATCCCCTTCCTGGTCTAGGGCCTTATAGACTAGGCGGGGGCCTGAACGGGCCACAGACCAGCACCAGCCTTTGGAAGGGGTAGTAATCAGCAAGGCCAGAGGCCACACAGACCCTGGAGGCAGCCTTGAGAGCTCAAGCCCCAGCTCCCGCCCCGTGCCCTCACCAGCTCCACGACCCTGGGCCAGTTACCCCAATTCCCTGAGACTCCAGTTTCTCATGAGAAAATGTGGCCCTGAAATAATACCACTTACCTGGTGGGGACAAAGGATTGAGAGGCTTAGGGAAATAATATAATATACAGTGTGTGTAAGGAAAACACAAGGGCAGAAGGTGAACACTCAGAAAAGGCCTGATAGGGACCTCAGACAGCTGGAGCCTGGGTGCAGGTCTTGCACAGACCCCCGCACAGGCAGAATCTCTGCGACCCCAGACGCTGACGTGGACCTTCAGTCCTCTGGAGGAGACCAAGTACCTGTTCCGAGTAGGGGTGTGGATCTGGGAAGCCGGCCTGCCCCCAAAAGCCAAGCCCCCCACCACCACCCACTACATGATCCGACTGGTGGGCGTGGGCATCACCAGTACCCTGTCTGTGAGTGGAAGAGTCCTGGTGGGTTGGGATGGGGTGCTGGGGGCCAGGGCATCCCCAGGGACCCAGCTCCCAGAGGGCAGGGATGGGAGCCCTTTGGTCCCCGGCCCACACCCTGGCCCTGCCCTGCCTTGGGAATTCTCTAAGGCCAGGGGTGCGAAGCCAGGGCCGCGGGCTGGGGGACCCCCTTCCCCAGCTGGCTGACTCTGGCCCTCAGGCAAAGGAAAAGGAGCTGGACTTTGGGAACGTGATAGTGAACAGCAGGCAGTCCAGGTCGCTGGTGCTCCTGAACGAGGGCAACTGCGTCCTCTCCTACCGCCTGTTCCTGGAGCAGTGCAGCCCTGAGGGCGCCAGTGACAACCCCCTCGGTATGGGGCCTGGGCTGGGACGGGGCTGGGGTGTGGGCATAGGTTAAGGCCAGTCGGTCAGACCATGGTTTGTGGGCAGGCAGAGGAGATCTTAAACCTTGGCGCTTCTACTTTCTGGACGTGTGGCCTTGGGCGTCTCCAAGCCTCGGCTTCCTTGTCCGTAAAGTGGGGCTACTGGTGGCACCTGTGTCAGGGGCTACTAGGTGGAGCAAAGTGTTTAGCAGGTGCCAATGACACAAAGACAGGTCCCCTCTGCCTTGGTCTGGGAGGAGGGACTCGGCCCCCCGTTCTCTGGCTCCGGCCTGCTTCACCGCCAGCGCTCTGCGGCCCCAAGGAGGATGTCTGGAAAGGAGCAGGAGGCGGGGCAGGGCCTCTCTGGCCTGCGCTGAGGGTCTCTCTGCCCTTGGCCCCGCCTGGGTCCCCCCTGAGCAGCCCTCCAGCTGGACCGCACAGAGGGGAGCATGCCACCCTGGTCTCAGGACACCATCTGCCTGACCGCCTGCCCCAACCGCCGGTCCCAGTACTCCTGGACCATCAGCTACTCTCTCCTCTCTTGCAGAGGTACCTGGGCTTCCAGGCATGGGGCCAGTGCCTGGAGGGAGGAGGGAGGGCTGTATGAGCAGGACTCAGGTGGGGAGATGCAGCGGGTCTAGCCAGAGCCAGCAGAATGAGTGTGAACGTGCTAGGTACGCCTTCGGGTGACTGGCATGTGTGCCTCCTACCTACCATCTCTGCATGGGTGTCTGTGCGTGCGATGCCCGAGTCGCGGAGGGCTCAGAGTGAGGGGTTCAGAGCTGTGCGGATGTACTGTGGGCACTCAGACAAGTCCTCGGCTGCCCTGAGCCCCGGCTTCCTCCTCGGGAGAGCGGCGCTGTCCCAGCCTGCCTGGGGGCCAGGGGTGGCGTCCAGGGCAGCGCTGAAGAGTGGCTCAGAGTGTGGACCCGAGCCAGACAGCCTGGGACGGGATCCTGGCCCACGCTTAGTAGCTATGTAATCTTAGCAAGCTGTGTAACCTCTCTGTGCCTCAGTTTCCACATCAGCAAAATAGGGATAACAACGGCACAGGCAAGGAAAAGGAAAGAAGTACCGATACAGGATACCTCGTGGAAGAACCTTGAAAACGTTGTGTCGAGTCAAAGAATCCAATCACAAAAAGCTACCTGGTGTATGATTGCATTGATGTGGAACATCCAGAATAGGCAAAATCTATAGAAACAGAACATAGATTAGGGGTTACCAGGGGTGGAGGGAGGGGAAAATGGGGCCTGAGTTTCTTTTTTGGAGTGATGAAAATGTTCTCAAATCAGGAAGCGGTGATGGTCGCACAGCTCTGAATGTATGAGAAAACACCGGGTTAACTTTACGGTATGTAAATTATGGTTCAATAAAGCCGTTAGTAAGAATTAGTTTGCACACAAACATGGTGCACATTAAATACAGTGGTGTGTGTGAAGCACTTAGGGCCATGCCTGGTACGTGAGAGCATCAGACAAGGTCTGCCTGGCGCTGCAGAGGATCCAAGGCCTGGGGGAAGGGTCCCGGGCCGGTTGCCCAGCAGCCCTGCACACCCCGGCCCGGTGGGGCTGGGAGGGGAGCCCGCTCCTCTGTTCACGTCCCCTTCCCCCAGATAACAAGGCTGGGAAGAAGCAGGAGCTGTGTCACGTCCTCCTGACGGCCGTGTACCCCCTACTCTCCATCCTGGATGCCTGCTCCATGGGCAGCGCCGAGGGCATCACCCGGAGGCACCTGTGGCGCCTCTTCTCCCTGGACATGCTCAACAGCTACCTGGGGCGCGACCCCTCCCCCTCTGAGCTCACCTACGCGGTGCCCACCCGGCACAGGTGAGCTGAGCCCGGGAGAGGGTCTGGGGATGTTCTTGGAGATTTGGGTCCACACACTTGTCCTAGGAGTGGCTCCCTGTCTCCACCCCTGCCCCTGATTCTTGCCCCTCCTGCAGGGGCCTGGAGGAGGCAGGCATTGGCTTGACCTCTGATGTGCCAGCCCAGCCTGCCCGAGTCCCAGAGTCTCTAATTCCCGCCTGTAGGGGGATGAGTCCTCACCCTGTCCCCATCCCTATCTCTGAGCCCATCCCTCTGCTCCGCACAGCACAAGTCAGATCCCCCCTGTCTTCACCCCTCTGAAGCTCAGCTTCAATTTTGGGGCGGCGCCGATCGAGGCCCCACCCTCTGTGGTGCTCCTGGCCCTGAAGAACAGCGGAGCGGTGCCCCTGGACTGGTACGGCTGGCTCAGAGCGGGTGGCTGGGGGCCCGGGAGGCAGGTGCCGGAGGCCTTCGCTTGCCGGTGGTAGACCGGCTGCCTGGTGTCTGCGACAGCGGGTACCCCACGGCTGGGGTGTGGAGGCCAGGGTGGGACTGGGGTCGCCCAGCAGGACAGAGGCCCTGTCACTGGTGGAGACATGTCGGTAGGCTCAGTGGGGTCACCCTGCTGGAGACGGGCACCGTCGTCTCAACACTTGAGGAACGAGAAGCACCCACTGCGCATCTGCCACGTGCCAGGCTTTACGAGCCCTTCTCCCCCAAGCATCCCACTCACCGTGGGGAAAAAAGCCCTCTTCTGCAGACTCTTTCCCAGATGGGAGGCTCAGGGCTCAGCAGAGCCAGGTTTAAGCCCAGACCAGTCCAACCCCAGTGCCCCTGCCCGCCCGAGCTAGTCAGCAAGGCTTGGGGCTGCTCCTTCCTGCCGGGCACTGTGCTGGGCACGGGGCGGGGGGGAGGCGCCCCTGACGGAGCCCCCGTCCGGTGGGGGATGGGGCCTGCGTGGGGATGAGCGGAGGGTCCCCCGGAGGGGCGGGTTGGGGAGAAGGGCAGGGATCCGCTGCCGCAGGCGGGGAGGAAGGTGTGACTGAGTGAAGCCACGTGGGGCCACAGGCAGGCTGCACCTCTGCAGTCACCGGGGCCCAGGCCTGGAGGCCTGAGCCCGCCACACTTGGCCCTTCCTGTGCTTGGCTTTCCTCCCACTGGGGCCCGAACTTGTGCCCAGTAAACATCCTGTTTCCACGCCAGGGCTTTTTTTTTGTTCTTCCTCCCTGTCTCTGCCACGCGCCTTGATTTCCTAGTAAACTGCCTTTTGATGACTTCCAACTTTCTTTGGCTACGGGGAGGTGAGAGAGAAGTGTCCCATCTGGGTCAGGCTCCGCGGGGAGGGCCGGGAGTCTGGCCCGGCTGTGGCAGTGGGTGGATGAGATCGAAAATATGCAGGCAGGGGCACCCGCCACGTCAGAAAGCTTCCCGCCTGAGCCGAGAGCCCTGGGGGGCAGGGGGGGCGTCATCAGGGCTGCCCCTCACTCTCTGGATTAACCTGCCCCGCTCTGGGGTGCAGGGAGCTGGGGAAGCAGGCGCAGGAGGCGGCTGCTGTCTGAGAAGCCTGCGGCTGTGAGTACCTGCAGGCTCCAGCCCTGGATGGCTGAGGAAGCTGGCAGGCAGGGCCGCCGGCCTGATGGGGAAGGCCCACAGCCGGCTTTGAGCTCTGGATCTGCCATTCACTGGGCTCTTTGAGTGGCGGGGAGCCAGGTCCTACAGGGCTCCAGGGTGGGGGCAGGAAAAGCGGCGCTGGCCTGCGTCCTGGCATGGGGCAGCGTGTTTCGGTGGATTGTGTGTGCGCGTGTGTTTGTGTAGGAGCAAGCCAGCTCACACTCTCCGTGGAGAGGGTCCAGGTGGCTGGAAACCGAGGCGAGAGGAAACCCAGGCTGAGTGCCTGCCGAGCCGGGCCCATCCATCAGGGGATCATTTGAGGTTCAGGAAAGCAGTCTGTGCCTCTTCCAGGGTGCCAAGCACAGGGGACCTTCCTTGGATGGCCTGACTTGCCTAGGCATTTTGTGTGTTATGTTTCCTTTCCCTTCCTTAGAAGGCTATTTTTGAAAATTCTAGCTGGTCTCTGCTGAGCTTATAAAGAACAAATTGAAGGTTTTATTCCTGCCAAGACCAGCAAGAAACAGGGAGTGTGGACTCGGCCTGGCAGCAGCAGCCAACAGAACAATGGAGCGAGGACCCCACAGATGGGGAGAGTTTGGGGGAAGCCGGGAGCTGCCCCACTGCCCACCCCTTCAAGCCTTCTCCTCCAACGCCTGTGCACTGGGCCCAGCCAGATGTGGGGCCTTGTATTTAGGGGAGATCCAGCGGTTCACCTCGTTTTTTCCCACATGCACGCTTTAAGTCACTGGCCAAATTTTCCTGGGGCCTCCTAGGCACAGGGTCCAGGCAGGTCCCCAGAGTCGAAGGGCCCCCGAGCCCAGGTCTTGCCCTCCAGGCGCAGCAGGGCTCTGCGGACAGAGTCTTTTGGGGCAGCGTGATGTGTGCTGTGAAAGACGCGTGTGCAGCACTGCGGGCCATGTCACTGCGTTTTGGACATGGTGGGGGGCACATCAGAAAGGCTCCCTGGAGAAGGCTACAAGCGAGCTAGGCCTGCAGCCTCGGGAGGAGAGCAGAGAGGCTGCAGAGAGCCTTCCAACAGAGCGCCGGCGGGTGCGTACGTGGGTCAGAGGAAAGGGCACAGTGTGGCCGGAGCGTTGACAAGGAGGGAGGGAAAGGCCTTGACTGTGGCTGGGGAAGCTGGTGGGGACCACAGTCCAGGCCCTAAACTCCTCCTCCTTTTGAGAGTTCAGACTTCTTCCCGAGAGCATCGGTGGGATGTAAGCTGGGGTGAAGGGCAAAGACTTGATCCACTTTCCAGACCTGTCCATCTGGCCCATGTGACAGAGGAGGACTGAGGCAGAGGACGGGGGGGGGGGGGGGAGGCTGTTGCAGTTCCCACACTGGGGGGGCTAGTGCTACAGGAGCGGCCAGGGAAAGGGGCTCAGGATTATAGGGAAGGAGGCTGGGTCAGGGCAGCGAGGGGAACGGAGGTGTTGAGGCTACGCAGACAGCCCCAAAATAGCAAGATCTCCACGGATCAATATCCCCCAGATAAAATGACAACAGCAGTTTCTTTGCCTATAGCAAGTCCGCTGATGCAAGGGTGATGGAAGAAAAGTAAGGAATTCCCCAGCGCCCTCCCGGGCCACCCTGCTGGGGTGACAAGAGCTGCCCCCCTCAGCCCTTGCACACCGCACAGACCCGGGGCAGTTACAGGCTTACGCTGTTTCTCATTATTTTTTACAGTAATGGCATAACACTATACATATTACTTTCTCCTCAGCATTATATCGGTAACATTCCCTTTAAGTAAATACAGGTCAATGCATAGCCCTAACTCATTCTTTTCGATCCCATCCGATTGTATGAATGGCCCTTAAATTATTAAACCACTCCTTTATTAGATGGCACTGGTTGTACTCGGTGCTTCCCCCCCCCCGCCCCCACTACAAAGAAGGCTGTGATAAACACCCTGGTGCATGCGCGCGTGTGCCCGGGTGCGCCTGCGTGCGTGCATTGATTCCTGCAGGTTACTTCCCCAAAACAGAAGTGCTGAGTCAAAGGGCACATATATTTTTTATTCCAGATTCCTACTGAAAAAGATGGTAGCAGCGTCTTCCCTTCCTACCTATTTTTGAGGGCGTGTCTTCTTTCTATAAGCTTAACTGCATTGGGTGTAATTCTTTTTCACATTTCCGATGTGACAACATTTAAGATGGACTGAAGGGGGAGTGTTTAAGATTGACTTTTCCCAAATGCCATTGAGCCTTTTCAGGTGTGTTGGCCGTTTTTCTCCGCCCTCTGACTCCTCTCTGTTCATAGCCTCTGCCAGTTTGGGGCCATGTCTGTGCCAGGTCTCAGGCTGTGACCTCGGGTCCCCTTTGTCGCCTGTTTTGCTGGCTATTTGGAGTGCAGTGTCTACTTTCCTACAGCACCAGACATCTCGGGGGCATTAATCTGTGCCCAGCTTTGCTTCAGATTCCAGAGCACCCATCCTGCTGGGACAGCTGTTCTGACCGGTGCCCAAGCAGGGCTGGACTCGGTCCCTCTCAGAGGCCCTGTGGGGGAGGTACTGCGGACACACTGAGGTGCCTCAAGTGTGCCTTCCTAGGAGTTTTTATCACAGAAACCCCTCTAGGGTTAACAGCCAGCTGCAAGTGACCCACATCAACAGGCGACCTCCTCAGCCCCAACACCCCCGGTGGGTGCCCCGGCCTTCACTTCCTGTTTAGTCATTGTGCAGAGGCAAGAATCCACAGCAGCCACTTTGGCGCAGCCGTGCATGGGGCAGCCTGCCAGATGGCCGGATGAAGCAGGGAGGCACAGAGGAGGCTGCCACCAGCCCTCCCAGGGCTCAGAAGCTCCCGCCTCTCTCATCTGACTAAGGGGCTTCACTCCTCCTGCTTTGCACCCCCCTCCCAGGGCCTTCCTCTTTCCACGTGACCAGCAGATCGACCTGGAGGCATGGGCAGAGCAAGCAGATTTTGACAACACGGAGCTGCACCAAATGCGTGTGCAGGACAATTGCATATTCTCCATCAGCCCCAAGGCTGGGAGCCTGAGTCCTGGGCAGGAGCAGGTGGTGGAGTTCAAATACAGGTGCCTCCCCTGACAGCTCCCCCCCCCACTTCGGGTCCCGAAGATCCCTCCTTTCCCCTGGCTCCCGGAGGATCCTGGCCTTGCACTGTGTGATGCCAGGGTACCCTGAGTAGCTACCATCCTGGGAGGATCCCCCCTCTCCACCTAGAGCAGAGGTTACATTCCCCCCTTGTCCCTTCCCAACTCAGGGGCTTCCACATGCTCCCAGGGGCAAGCCAGCTCAAAGCCCCGGGGGTGCTGCGATCGTCTGTTCTCCCACTGGTACCAGGGCTCCCTAACTCAGCCTAGACTTGTCTCCTCCCTTCCAGCCACCTGTTCATTGGCACTGATCGCCTCCCAGTGCTCTTCAAAGTGTCCCATGGCCGGGAGATCCTGGTGAGGCCCCAGCCCTGGTCCTGTCTTTGGACAATCAAGAGAGGAGCCGAGAATCACACCCCTGGGGAGCTGGGGTCTGGACCTCTCCGCTGCGTGCGCGCTTCCTTCCGGGGAAGGAGACCCCTCACGCGCTCTCTATTTCCAGCTGCACTTCATAGGTGTGACAGTGAAGCTGGATCAGAAGTACGTGCACTTCACCTCCACGAGCCACCAGTTCATCCCGGTCCCAATTGGCGACTCACTGCCCCCGCAGCAGGTCAGTGGTCCACATCATCCTGGTCACCAAGGGGCCTACATGTTCATCTCTGGGGAACTGAAGAAGTTCTCGACAGGGTGGCAAAGACGCTGCCTTCCAGAAGCCCTCACTCTAAGAGGTGGGGCTGCATGTTGGACCCCGAGACTGGGCAACTGGGAGAGACCCAAAGGGAGGGGCTTCAGCTTCCCGGGGCCTGGTGCTTAGCCCTCTGCCAGGCCTCGTTCCCACGCAAAAGAAGCCTCCGCCCCGCCCCGCCCCCGGCACAGGATTCTTCAAACTTCTTTGGCCATGAACCACACTAATATATTTTGGATAATAACCCAGTACGTACATACACAGACAACCCATCGCAAATCAGTATGTACACTACGACGTGCAAAGTAGTCTTATGTTTTTTTAAAATTATATTCTGTTGGTTTTCTTTTAATGCTGCCCATGACCCACTCAGTTGGTTTCATGACCTGCTCACTAATAGGTTTCAGCCACAGTGTGAAAATCATTGCTCCAAGAAGGACATCTTTCTGGAAGGTGAAAAACTAGAATGTGAATTCTCATGAAACTGTAGGATTTTCTTTATCCATTGGAGGGAATGGGGTTCCTTTACTTTGAAAAATGTACATTGTAATTTTCCAAGAGGGGGACATAGTACTTTCACGAATATTTCACAGCTCTGAAATTTCTAACCGCTTAGAAGCCCTTATGTTCCTGGGCAGGGGCCTCCAGCCACTCGGCCTAGAGGCAGAGGGATGGGCCCCTGGTCCTGAGAGGGGATCCCCAGCCCCAAGCTCTGGCCACTGCTCCGCGCTGCCCTCTGCCCCACTGGCCTCCCGCAAGGCCCACCTGGGGCCGGGCGTGCCCGTGCCTGCAGAGGCCCAGACACCCAAAAAGGAAGGTGTGTGCCCCGGGGAGAGCTTTCCAGAGGGAACAGGCCACTCCCCTGTGGGCAGGCGTTCTCTCTCGTTCATCAGAGGATGACAGGCGCTGGTCTGCGGCTACCAGCGGGCAGTGGAAAGAGAGAGAAGTGAACAGATTCAATTTACATTTTAGAGGTAGACTCACAGGGTCTCACTGGGGATTGGATCTGGGAAGTAAGAGAAAAGGAGGGATTGAAGACATACAGACTCCTAGCTGGAGCTACAGGGAATATGTAATGCCACTTGCTGAAAGGAGACATGTGTGGGGAGGAAGACGTTTTAGAAAGAAGAGTTTGGTTTTGGCCAAATTTGAGATGCCTATGAGACAGCCCAGAGGGGTTGTTGTCAAGTCGGAGCTGGTACCAGGTGTGAAGCGCAGAGGGTGGCGCAGGCCAGAGAGAGCAAGTCCGCATGTTCAGGAGGGGAGGCTGAAAGAGAGGAGGGGCCGGATCTCCGCCCAGATGAGCTCGTTGTTCTCTCTGGCTTCAGTTTTCTCATCTCTACAATGAAGGATGGGACCAGAAGATCCTGGTTTCTTCCAGGACGTCCTGTGATTCCCAGACTTGGGAGTTCATCTTGGGGCCCCCCTCACCTTCCTCCCGCCACTTGTCTGCCTTGAAGACTGCCTCTAACGGCAGACGTGCAGAGTGGCAGCCTCACAGGGCATTAGGCTCAGAGCCTGGAAAATGATGACAAGTCACAATGGCGCTTGCGTGGATGCTTACCCAAATTCCCACACTAAGGACGCAAGCATTAGTGCCCCTTTATTCTCTGACAAAGGTAAGGTGAGAGCAAATAAAATAAGGATTAAAGATTATCTTCAACTATCACAGGCTGAAGTGAGAGTTACGTACTTATGATGAGGCCACCGGAAATCAGGCATCTGGGGGAGCTCTGGGACCTTAAGTGTGACGCAGTGGAGGCCAACCCACCCTCCCACAGTGGATGCAGAGGCCCAGGCTCTCTGCACCGCAGCCCTGAGCCGGTTTGGAGGTTTCCTTCTCCCCACGCCCTGCAGATTTATGAGCTGTATAATGGTGGCTCGGTGCCCGTGACATACGAGATCCAGACCGACGTCCTGTCGCAGGTTCAGGAAACAAATTTTGATCACCCCATCTTCTGCTGCCTCAACCCCCAAGGGGAGATCCAGCCAGGTGCAACGGCTCGGGTCTTGTGGATCTTCTCACCTATTGAGGCCAAGACCTACACGGTGCGCAGCAGCGAACCCGGGGCGGGGGTGGGAGCTGGCTCCTCAGCAGGCCTTGCTCTGACCAGTCCCTTCCCCGCACCCTCCTAACTTTTCAGGTGGATGTACCCATACACATCTTGGGGTGGAACTCGGCCATAATCCAGTTCCAGGGAGTGGGCTATGACCCCCATGCCATGGGGCATACGGCGCCTTTCTACAATATCTCCTCACTGGACAACAGCCCCATACACTCAAGGCTGATGGTTCCTGGACAGGTCGGGGGAAGGGAGCTGGGGAGGCCTGAGGCCTAGGAGGAAGCTGAAGGCCCAGAGTAGCCAGTGCCCAGGGATGGGGAGGCTGGGAAGGAGAAGAGATGATGGTGAGGATGAAGGGATGCAGAGGCGAAGCCTAGAACGGGCCTCCTTCAGATTCAGAAGGCAGCACTGGCTCCACGAGAGGCTTACCCTGCCACCTAGTGACCACAGGGGTGCCTGCTCAAGCCACGCACCCTCTTCCCTGGGCATATGGATGGGGTTATTGGAAGCGGGAGAAGGAAGCTCTTCTATTCTAGGGCTTTAAGGTATTCTCTTCAAACAGAACAGCCCACCCCTGGACCTAGATGGATTTTGCTGATATCTAGGGTCATTAACACTACCTTTAGTGCCCCTACTCCTCGCTTTTGGGAGGTCTTAGCCATTTATCCGCCCACCCTTCTACCCGTCTGCCCACCGCCCCACACGCCTGTTCACTCATCCATGTATCCACCCAGCCATCCATTTCTCCATCCATCCTTCCACGCGCCGGCCCAGTCACTGTCCGCTCCTCCATCTGCCTGTCGACCCTTCAACTCCTGCCCTGCTTGGTCTCTTATACAGCATGCTGAGCACTGTGGAGGGCCTGGGAACACAGAGAAGAGACAGAGTCCCAGCCCGGGTGGCTCTGGGTCTGGACAGAGAGAAAGTGCCCCTTCCCTGTGGCCTCAGTCTTTCCAGATGCTCCTACAACACAGCTCCTGCTCTGTGCCCAGTATCGATACCAACAGCTGGTCACCCATTCATTAATAACCACCTTTCAGGGACTCAGACAGTGTTGGCTTTAGTCCTGTCATCTGTCAGCAAATTCTGATTGCTCAGCCTTTCCAAGTCCATTTTTTAATGGTCCAAATCATGGCTTCAGAGTGGGACCTTCCGGGTTTCTCCCAGCTGCGCCTGTGAGAGATCTTTGGAGAAAATATGTGTGCTCTGTGAACCTCAGCAGCACATCTGTGAAATGGGGGCAATAGAGGTGCCTGTGTCATAGGGCTATTGGGAGATTCAAGAGCATGTCAACTGCCTACCATGCTACTTGGTCTAGTGAAAGCTCTCAGTAACAAGCAGGGGTTGCTATGGTTATTATTTCCTCACCTCCCAAAGTTGCTGTTGTGTTGTCTCCACCAACAGAACGTCTCCCTGTCCCAGTCTCACATCTCCCTGGGAAACATTCCTGTGCAGGGCAAGTGCAGCCGCCTGCTGTTCCTCAACAACACCTCCAAGAATGAAACAATTGTCTTCGTCTGGCAGCTGAAGCCTCTAGACTTCGGGGAGGTAAGAGTCCCTTGTGTCCATAGAATCTGAACCTCCAGCAGGGCCCCAGACCTACCCTCTCTCGTCCCATCTTGTCCCCTCTCACTCCATCGCACCCCCTCCCATTCCATCCTGTGCCGCTCCGCCTCGCCTTGTCCTGTCTCACCGCATCCCGTCCTACCCCCTCCCATCCCATATCATACAGCTCCACCCCGTTCCATCTCACCTTGCCCCATCCCACCCCTATGAAGCTCCCGAGACTCCTTCCCCAAATCAACAGGTGTCCGTGAGTCCCATGAGAGGAAAGGTGGCTCCAGGAGAGGGGGTCCCATTTGTGGTGACCCTGAAGGCCTCAGTGCACGCCAGTTTCTACAGCATGGACCTGGTGTGCAAGGTAGGGCCAGCCCCGGAGAGAGGCTGGGAGTGGAGTGCAGCTGCGAGCCCTGGCGGGTGGGGTAGGCTATGAGATCCCCAGGCCCCAGGGAGAGCCAGCCCCCGGAAGGGTGGGGGCCCCACAGTGCAAGCCCAGAGCAAGGCCTGGCTGTAAGACCCCCAGACCTTGGTCGCCTCTCTCCTTGTCCTGGGCCACAGATGTACAATCAGGAACTCTTGAGGCAGTACCATCAGGAACTACAGGAGTGGAAGGATGAGAAGGAGCGGCAGGAAGTGGAGTTCACGATCACAGACAGGAAAGTGAAGGTGAGGAGGGCAGAGTGGGCCTTGCCCAACACAGATTGTTCTGATTGGTATGAGGGGTTCCTACAGATGAAACTGGCCAGCCTGCCCTATGAGATTAGATTTCTTTTATTAGACCGAACATAGCATCTCCCCAAGAGACTTTGGAGGCAGAAGGCTGGCTGACCATTCCCTGCTTCAGGGAGCTAATATTTAACAAGTGCTGTGTACTGGGGACCAGGGGAAACAAGGCTGAGCTCACCTTCTGATGGAGGACAGGGTGGCCTGGTGGTTTCAGGTGCAGGCTCTGGGAACAAATTGCCCAGTTTTGACCCTTGGCTTTGACAATTTCTAGCTCTGTGATCTTAGTTGAGTTTTTAACCTCTCTGCTCCTGCAGTTGTAAACTGGGGGTAATGCGACAGCTGGAATTGGCTTCAAGATAATTCAGAGGTGGGGTGCGGATAGGACAGGCGGCCTGCCAGCTGCTAATTGTCGAAGCTGGGCGGCGGGTAACAGAAGATTCTTGGTGGCATCCTCTGCAACTTTGTATATATTGGAAATTTCCCAAACTAGGAAGGGTAAAAATAAAAGTTTTAAAAATATTTTTTTAATTTTATTTCTCTATTTTTATTTTATTTATTTTTTAAAATTTATTTATTTATTTTTTAATTTTTCAAATACATTTGTCTCCATTTACCCGCCATCTCTTTCCCCTGCCCCACCCACCCCCTAAAAATATTTTTAAATAAGAGTAAAATAGTATCCACCTTGTAGCACTATTGGGAGGATTAAATGAGCTGATACATGTAAAGTACCCGCAACAGTGCCAGGCTCCCAGTAAGCATTTGCTGAAACTGCTGTTAGCATTTGTCAGGGCTGACTGATGACAAACGTGAGACAGAGCATGTCTTGGTTCCTCCCCCAATTTCATAGCCCCCCTTTGCATGTGGTCTTATTTCTCGTTCACCTCTGTGCCCACCACACTGAACTCCCAGGGAGGGACCACTCCCCTTTGAAGCCCTGGCCCAACTCTGAATGCAAATCACAACTTGAGGCCACAGAAGAAGGGATTTCTGAATTGTCTTGATAAAGGAAGTTGTTTCTGCATCACATAAAACCACAAGGCTCCAAGGCACAAGGACAGTTCTTTTGGGGCAGCCTATGCACATTTGGTGGCATCTCCTCTTTCCTTTGGTTGGATAACCAGATCTTACTCATCTGTAGGTAGCACTTCCCTAGGGAATGTTCTGGAAGAGGGTGTGGCTAGGACTTGGGCGAAACCAAGAGGACAGCAGGCCCTGGCATGGGCTTCAAGCCTTTGGTGGGTCAGCAGGAAGGGTAGGCAGAGAGGAGTCCCTCTAGGCCTCTTGTATCCTGAGCAGGGTTCTCTTTGTTTCCACAGAGTAGGGCATATTCCACAGCCAGTGAACCTGTGAGGAGGTACAAGGTAAGGCCGTAAGCCCCAAACCCACTTCCTCAGACAGCTTGTGAGGGTCCTTGCTCGCTCTCAGAGATACCTCCAACCCCTGGGCCAGCCTCCTAGAAGGGAGGGACGAAAGGGCCAGTGGGTGGAGCCATACCCGTGCCTGGCCCACAAGGCCTGGCTGGGAGTCTCCAAACCCCTGCCATCACGCCTCTCCCTTCCCAAAGACGCTGCCCCCTATCAAGAAACAGCATCCTCGCCACCAGCCCACCAGCTGGAATCTTAAGATCCCAAAGGAGGAGACACCGTGGCCATGCCCCCAGCTGCCCGCACCGGGCATGCTCTACTTGGGCCTCACTGCACGCGCCCATGCCATCGACTACTTCCTGGCCAACTTCTTCTCCGACTTTCCCCGATACTTCTTGCACTGGTGAACTCTCAGGGAGGGAGGGGTCTCCTTCCTCTCCCACTCCAGAATGGGGGCTGCCCAGACCGACCCTTTGCTGAGGGCTTGCAGCAGGTGCAGTCGCAGGGTGGGGGAGAGGCTAACGGGCATTGCTGGGCTCAAGATGCCCCCATTACTGCTTAGGTCCTTATGAGGAGGGGACAAAAGAGCCAGAGCCCCCTGGGGAACCCCCCTTGGCAGCCCCATCTGCCCTTCCTTCCTTCCTTTCCAACTGGGAGCCTCTCCACATCCTGCGCCACCTCCAAGGGTCAGGCTTAGTTGCCCAGGTGCAATGAGTAGCACCGTGTTTGGGTTAAGGCTGGGCCCGCCCCATACTCACCTATGTCCTCCTGACTGTGAGGCCACCCCCACTGCTCCTGCCCCCAGCCCCAGCATGGTGGCCTGCCCAGGCCACTCAGTGTCATGGCCTGCCCCAGGGAACTGTCAAAGAGAACGTGCATCAGAGAAGAGCCAGAGGCTTCTGCAGAAGAATCCACTGACAAGTGGGCCCCTGTCTCCCCACAGAAGAAGCTGCTCCTGGTGGACTGTCTCACAGCCATCATCAGGTGACTGTCCAAGCCCTGAACCCTCACCCCCACCCCCGCCCCAACCTCTCCAGCCCATTCAGTATACTCTGGGTCCGCCCACAGCTCCCGGAAGTCCTAGCCCTTCTTTTCCCGAAATAGAATCCTTCGTCACAGGATCCCTCCAGGGGACGTCCTACCTCTCCAGGGTGGCACGGCTCTAACAGAGCTCGCTGGAGGGTGTATCAAGGCTGGGTCCTGAGTTCTGCCCTCTCCACAGCTAGCAGATGAGGTCTGGAGCCAGGTCCCAGTCTCCCCAGCTTTGCTGTCCCTCATCTGTGTAACTCTGACCCCCTGGCTCTATCTCCACCATAAAATGTTCACCTCTGAGACTCCATGGGGCCCAGGGACACCTTCTTCTAAAGAAGGATGGGAGAGGCAATGGCCCAAGGGCTCCCTCCCCCACCTAGCACCTGTTTGTGGACACAGTAGGAAAGAGCCACCATTTGAGGAACCCTGAAACCAAAGCCTCCCGGGGCAGGAAGCCCTCTCAGCAAGAACCCTCTTTTCCTCCCTTCCATGCAGGGGCCTGCTGGAAGACAAGACCTTCCACGAGGCCGTGAACCAAAGCCTGGAGGAGCAGATACCGTACTTTTGCCAGTTCCGTAATGAGAAGTCAAGGAGGTTCATGGCCCTGGACAGCAGCCTGCACGCAGCGCAGGACCTGTTCCTGTCCCCCGATAGCTGGGAGGACGGGGGAGGCGAGGAGCAGGAGGGGGGCAGGCAGAGGCTAAGGAAGCAGGAAAGAGAGGAAGAGGCAGAGAAAGATGAAGAGGAAGAGGAAGAGCTGGAGGAGGAAGAGGAGGAAGAAGAGGAGATGAAAGAGGAGGAGGAGATAAGCAAGGAGGAGGAGGAAGAGGAGGAGGAGGAGGAGGAGGAAGAGGAGATGAAAGAGGTGGAGGGGCCAGGCAAGGAGGAGCTGGAAGAGAAGGAGGAGAAGGAGAAGGAGGAAGTGGAAGAGAAGAAAGATAAGTTGGCCTGGCCAGGGATGGAGTCCCCGCTGCAGCCTGGGCCCCAGGAGTCCCTGAAAGGGCGGTTGCAGCAGCAGCTGAAGGTCATAATGAAGGAAGAGCAGGAGCAGGACGAGAAGGAGGCCATTAGCCGGTGAGCGGCCAGGCCCAGGTGCGGGCTTGAAGGGGGCGGGGTTTGTGCAGAAGGAGCCCGCGAGGCTGTGACAGGCTGGGGCGGCCTCCACTGAGCGTCTCTTCCAGCCCAGCGTTCCCTGACATTATGTTAGAAGTGTAAGGCCTGGGTGGGAGTATTTGCAGAATGGGGATCTGAGCTCCCCTCCCCACCCCCAAATCTGGCTATTAACATTCAACACCACACCACTTCAAGGAGGGTAGTTACAGTCTTCAAGTTTTCTTAAGTGGGTTTCTAGGACCAGAAGAGAAGTACCCCATTTTCTTGTACCGCCTTTCCCTGGGACTGCTCTGCGGTTGCTTTCTGTCGAGCTGGGATCCCCTAGGTCCCACCTAGCCTCCTCTGCACACTCTCATCACTGGATGCCTTTCCCCCTGAGTTGGGGACCACGATTGCTCGGGTTCGAATTTCACGGCTGTACCAGCTGCCTGAAGTTTGGTGACTTGGGGGGTCCTAAGTGTCTGTAAAATCGGAACAAGGATGCCTCCTAGTGTTGGGAGAGCGGGGAGTTAAATGCGAGCACACGGAGAGCAGCCAGCCCAGGGTACAGCACTGAGGCGGCCAGCGGAGCGTGGGGTGGTGGCCCAGCCACGGCACTGACATCGGTGCCCGGTCCCCCGCAGGCTCCCAGCTTTCGCCAACCTGCAGGAGGCGCTGCTGGAGAACATGATCCAGAATATCCTGGTGGAGGCGAGCGGAGGGGAGGTGGTGCTCACCTCGCGGCCGCGCGTCATCGCCCTGCCGCCGCTCAGCGTTCCCAGGTGAGGGCACCCAGGCCAGCAGCCGTGTCGATGGTGCGGGTGGGGCGCGAGGGGTGGCAGGGGCGGGCAGGCTTGGCCTGAAGTCTCGCCCCCACCCCTATCTGGAGCTTTATCTTCCAGGATTCTGACCCCAGAACTGCTGTCGGCGGCCTCCCTTACAGCCACAGCCAAGAGTGGGGCAGCAGCTGGTGGCACCGCCCTATACCGACCCTTTGAGGACGCCAGGGCCCGGCCCCTCTGACTGGCTTCCCTAGGCTCTGCCCGGCCTCCTCTCCACCGTCCCACCAGTAAAGCACCCACCCTTTTTTATATATCTGCCTTAACTTTTTTCCCCCAGCGTGGGAGCAACTTGCGCCGCGCTCTGAGAGGGACAGAGGCGGGAGTGGCCGACGTGGACCACAGCAAGTCACTGGAGACTTAGGGGCTGGGCGATCGCGCCTCTGCACCCCGCATCGCACCCGGGCGAGGGTTCGCGGGGCTGGCAGCCTGGCGCTTGACCTGGTCAGGCCAGGGGAGGGCGCTTTGCGGGGAGGGATCCTGACTGGCTTCTGCCGAGTGCAGCCTGGTGGACAGGAACTGAACGCCAGGTCTGGTCAGTGCAGCAGGTGGCCACGGGATAAGTGACCACCCCGTCCACGTCCGCCTTCTGCCACACCTGCTCTGGGGCGCAGCCGCTCCCCTCTCCCCTCTTTTTCAGCAGCTGCAGGGCTCCTGGGCCTCTGCTAAAGGATTGGAAAGAAAGGGAAACCGAGTCACATGGTAGAGGGCCAAGAACTAGACACTGGGACAAGAGTCAGGTCACCGAAGGACAGTGGGCCGCAGCCTCTACAAGTGACTCCCATCTTAACTCTGAATCCCCCGACCAGGGGATGGGATGTCCCGCCTTTCCTAGGATACCCACCTCCGGCTCCCCCTCACCTCCGCCCGGCAGCCTGTGTCCTCTGCTCTTCGGCTCCTCCCATCCTCCCCCCTCCCACCCCCCGCCAGAGGCAGGTGGGTGGAAAAGTGACATCTGGTGTTGTTCCAGAGGAGCTCAGGTCCCTCGATCCCCCCCCCACCCCCCGCCCGCCAAGGCCTCCGAAGAGTTCTGGCCCCAGAGCCCCCGTGGGGCGGGGAGGGGGTTGGGGGCGCTCCGCCTCCTCTGAGTCAATATTTGCCCAGAGCAAACGGGCGCCCGGACAGGTGTGAGTGTGCGTGTGTGTCTGTGTGTCTAGGGGCGGGGACTGAACAGGCCGTATAAGAGCGCGCTGAGCCGGGGCTTTGGCACAAGCTCCACGAGGCGTGCGCTGGGGACCAAGCCAAGCAAGGCCCGATGGGGTGGAGGGTGGCCAGGAAGGGAGGGGCAGGCCAGGTGCGCACCTGCAGTGGCCGCCCCGGCCGCCGACGTGTCAGCCGCAGATGCGCGCAGGTGAGGCGGCGGCCGGCGGAGCACTGTGCGGCACTGCGCCCGCGGAAGACCAGGACCACGAGATCACCAAGGGCCACAGCCAGGCCCCGGGCCTCCGCTCCCGCCCCGCGACGAGCCCCTCGCACAAACCGGACCTGAGCGTTTTGTTCGTTCGGCTCGCGTGAGGCAGGGGCGGCTTCTCAGCACCCGCCCGGGGGCCCAGCCCGATCGCCACGCAAGCACCTGCCGCCGCCGCCGCCATAAGGGTCGGAGAGGTTGTGCGCCGCTCCCAGGGGAAATCCGGCTCCCATCCGGTCCCGCCCGCTTTGCCGTGTCCTGCCCTGGCCCGCAACTCCTGGGCTACCGGGTCCATTGGGATAATGCAGGGCGCAGAGCAGGCTCCACCGGCTGGCAAACGGGGCTGGGGCCCGGAATAGGAGCCTTTTGGAGGTGGAAACCGGCTTCTGGTCCAACTCGGTCCCAGCGACTTCTGTGGCCTTGGGCAAGTGACTTCCCAGGCCTCTCCAAGCGTTTTCTCATTTGCACAATGAGGAGGTTGATCTGGCCTCCTGTGGGGGCTTCACCAGTCCCCGTATCCTGGTTTCTGGGCTTCTAGAAGTATATTTGAGAAGTGTATTTGAGCCCTGACCGGGGAAGTTGGAGGCCCTCAAAGGGGTTGAAGGAAAAACGGTGAGGTTTGGGAAATTTGGGTGGGGTGGGCAAGAACCTTGATGGATGGAGAAGAAGTCCCTCCCCCAGGAATCTACCGCACTGGCATCCCGGGGGTTCAGTTCCTACCATCCCCCTGGCCCCTCTTGCCGTCTTCCCGTGTCGGAGACTGACTGATTGGAAAGGACAAACACAGGATCCAGTAGCCCTTGCCTGATGGAGTCTCCAGGCACAGCATAATCCCAAGGCCTCTTTTTTTAAGAGTGGGGGTGGAATCTATGTGGCCTTCAGGTTACCTGGGTCATTAGCTACAACCCAAACCCCGGACAGACCTCCTCCCTTTTCCAGGGACTCAAAGTGCTAAGATCTGACATGGAGGAGGGGACAGAGATTGCTCAAGACCCCTATCTCCTGCTTGGGGAGCCTAGAACTGAGGGTTTCACAGAAGGCCTGGAGTCAGGCTGAGCCCCTAGCTGAGGCTGTCCTGTGACTCCAGGTGAGCTCCGTTCCCCTTCCCAAAACTGATGGCCATGCTGAGTCAGCCCCAGACAGAGGGGCCGGTTGTAGGTCGGGGTGGAATTAAGGCTCCTTGAATAGCAATAAGGAGCCGCAGTTCCCCCCTTAGAGTGAAAAAGCATTGTGGGTAGGGACCGTGCCCCCACACACCCAGGCGTAGGCAGCCCCCAGGGAGATGAGAGTAAGAGTCAGGAGTCACTGGCCCCTTCCCGCTCCAATCTGGATATTGCTGGTGGTGCTGGCTTGTCCCCTCCACCAGCCTCCACCCAGTCCACTGCCACCCCGGCCCTGACCACCCTCAGGCCCCACGGGGTCTGCAGAGCCCCTGCGGCAGAGACCGGAGGGGGTGGGGGTGAGGTGGCCCTGACGGCCCCAGGCAGCGTCTGCAGGCAGCAGCCCTGGGTGAGGAGCCTGGGTCCCAGGCCGGGGTGTGTGCAGTCCCCCCCTGACCCGGCTTCTGTCCTGGGGCCAGCCCTCTAATCCTTGCCTGGCACTGAATGATGTGCCTGCCAGGGGCCAGGCCTGGCGCTGGCATGTCCTCCCTGTGTCTTGCAGGGCTTCCTCTCCTGTCCCTCTGTCATAGAAGGGGACTGGAGCTCCCCCTGCCCCCATGGCTGGGATTAGAGATCCTGGGGCTGCACAACAAAGGTCTCCCCCTGGAATGACCCCCAGGACACACACACACACACACACACACACACACACACACAGTCCTGGCAGGATGGGAGGGGTGGGGAGGGTGTTGAGAAAATGAGGCCACCAGTGGTCTGGAGTCTGCCCTTGTGACAGAGCACTAGTGCCTCTTTCCCCCAGAGCCTAATTTCCCTGGACCCTCTCTCCCCACCCCCCACAATCCCCAAGACCTGTATTTCCTGGCCCTGGCCAGGGAGCTGGCCTCCCATCCAGGTCCCTCCTCCCCTGCCTAGCCAGGGGCGGAGCCTCCAGGCGCCAGGCAGGCCTGCAGGTGCGGGGCTGGGTGAGGGGGGTGCTCAGCAGCTGGTGTTCGAGTGGGCCCCCTCCCCCCTTGCCTGTCCAGCTCCCAGCCAGAGCCTGCTTCCTGTCATCCCTGTCAGCACCCTGGGCGGGGGAGGGAGCAGGGAGTGGAGGACATAGAAGAGGAACTGAGCCTGGAGAACAGTGGAACTGGGAGACAGCTGACTGGAAATGGAACTGGGGAGACGGAGGAGAGAAGGGCCAAGAACACAACCAGAAGGACAGACAGAGGATACGGCCCAGAGGGGTGTGAGAACCACAGGGGCAATGTCAAGGCCCACGGAGGCTGCAGAACACCCCCAACCCCCCACAGCCCCAACACACACAGCAAGAGCAAGACCTAGAGAGAGACCTGAGGCAGAGGCAGAGACCTCCTGAGAGAAACCAGAGAAGAGGGACAGAGACAGTGTGACATAACCAGAGAGGCACACTTCAGAAAGCGGGGTGTCAGAGGTCAGGGAACCAGAGGCAGAAGGTACTCTGTGTGTGTGTGTGTGTGTGTGTGTGTGTGTGTGTGTAGAAGAAGGTGGAAGTGGTGTGGGAACAGCCTCTACTCCACCCCACATCAACAAGGGGGAATTGCCCCCAACAGGGGAGAAAGAAGTGGCTTCTATCTGGGCTGCAAACAGGACAGCCAGGGCTGGAGGTGGGGGCGCCACCCCTCCCTTGGGAAACCACTCTCTCCCCATTGGAAAGCAGAAGGCGAAGAGGGGCAAAGCTCAGGCCACAAGTGGACCCGGGCAGAGTCTGACTCCACCTTTCCCCCTTTCCCTCTTGGCCACAGCTGGCCAGACAACGGAGGCAGCTGCCCCGCCTCCGCTATCCACCTGCTGGTTCTGGCCCAGCCTTGTACCTTCTGACTGTGGGGGCTGCCAGGGTCTATATGAGAGTCGGGGATCGTGGGCATGAAGGCATGGGGGGGTTCATACCCAAGTGCTAATCCCCAACCAGCCAAGGCAGAGCCAGAGGCTCACTGACCTTCTTGGAGATTAGTCCCCATGGTGACAGCAGCCAACTCTGCCCCCTCACTCATCTAGGCCTTGGGGTGGGTGGAGGCTAGGTGGGGAGGGGAGGGAAACTTCCTGGGGCATCGCAGGCTCACAGAACTCTGGGAAGGGAGCCCCTCCAGGATCAGTTTACTGGTATGAAACTGAGGCCCCAAGAGGGGGAGCGGCCTGCCCAAGACCACATATTTAACCAGAAAAAGTGCGGAGACTAGAAATCAGATCCCCACTTGCACTCCCAAGCCCTCTTTCCCAGAGAAGAGAGGCCTGAACAAGGACAAAGGGTCGGGATACTCCCCCCTGACCCTCCCAACCCTCCCAAACCCAGAGCCAGAGCAGAGTGGCTGGGATGCGGTGAGGCGGGAAGTCCCCCCATCCTGCATGCTAGGCTGACTCCCACAAGCAAGTATGGGAAGGGGGATGCAGATCCCAGAGTTAGGCCTGCTGCCCTGACTCCTTCCCCCAGCCCAGCCCAGCCCAGCCCTGCCCCAGGGGTAGGAGCAAACCGCGCAGCAAAGCCAGTTATAACCACAGCCACAAGAGTAACAGCTAACATTTATTGGGTGTGAACAACAGACTGTGTTTTACATGCATTTAAATCTTCACGACAGTTTTGAAGACTTACTTTCATGTTACAGAGGGGAAAACGGAAAAAGAGTGCAAGCAGTGGAG